GCATAGTCGAGGGCATGACGCCCACAAGAAGCAGGGACCGAAGGAACAGAGAAGGACAGAGCTTCACTCCAGGACACACAACCTGGTGGTAAACTTAGAACTTGGACATGAGTCTCTCTACTCCCAGCCTGAACAATTTCCAGCACCCAATTTGTGAATATATATAAACAGAATAGATAGTCAGACAGTGGCAGTGGTGGCACAGGCCTTTAATCCCAGCACTCAGGAGGCAAGCAGATCTCTGAGTTCAAGGCCAGCCTGGTCTACAGATCGAGTTCCAGGACAGCCAGGGCTACACAGAGAAACTTTGTTTTGATCTCATCCCCCCACTAAAGAAAAAAAAATATGTAGGGACCTAGCCTTCTAGGTAGGCAGAGGTAGGAAAGGCCCTTCTCAGCAGCTTTGGTCGGAGGCTGCTGGATTTAGCTCTCATTCCCCAGCAGTCTGCATCCTCCAGCAGACTGAGTTCTGTAGTGACAGAACGGGAGAAGTTGGCTTGGACCAGTCTGTTCCTTAGGGATTCTTACCTGGGACACCACCTGCCCTGCTGTCTGCCTCTGGCCTCTTTAATCGGAGGGAGCAGGAGCCCAGATGTGAGAGAATGCAGGCCCTGGAGAGCTCTAGTTGAGTTTAGAGCCCGCAGCTGCTCAGCAGGGATCAGCTTTATAAAAGTCACCTCTTCTGCCTTCAGGATCCTTACAGGATAGACAGCCAGGATCCCCAGACCTCAGAATCTCCTGGATGGAGAAGCAGGTCACACCAGCTTTTACCTCCTGGTCCCAAAGCTGTCAATTAGACACTTGGAAATTTGGGGGGACTTTCCCCTGACAGCTGCATCTCCCCCCCCCCCACATGCCTTTATTCCTATATATATATATTCCAGGTTTTTCCCAAGGACACAGCTCCTGGTAAGAGTACATCTTTGGACCTATTTTCTGTTTTGTTTGTTTGTTTACTTAACAATCAATATATGATGCCGTCACAAGGATGCCAACAGATCTACCACCAACTGAGCTCCCTTCAGAGGAGCTGGAGGTCCCAGCCACAATAGGGGTGGGCTGGGCAGGAGGGCCGTGAACTCATTTCCAAGGGGCCTGCATTCATTTCCCCCAGACGAATCCCCCAAGGCAAGATCTTCTTTGGAAGGGCGACCACCCTGCTGAAGCTTGGCCATCCGATCTGGTATCTCCCATCTGTCTGTCTGTCTGTGGGATCAACAGCCTCCAGCCAGCTCAGCTCCTCACCAGCCCTAGCCCCAGCCAGCTGTAATACCAGCCTGTTACAAGTGTTAACACCTGGCCTGGGGCCTTCCTCCCCCGCAGTCTCCAGGTGCCTCCCTGGGCCCAGCCTACTGACCCCCACCGGGGTTTGACTGAACACGTTCCCATGCCTCTGAACGCCCGCCCGGCTGTTGGGTGGGTGTTGAGCAGGGGAGAGGCAGTAGGATGTGACACATGGAGAAACTGAGGCAGGGCTTAAGATAGGTGCTTGGGTGGGGGATGGGCTCTGGAGCCGTAGAATAAGAGCCCAGGTGTCATGACAGGCTTGACGGCCTCGGCAAAACATCTTCCCTTAAACTGCAAGTTTGGGTGTGCTGGTGACCCTGAGTAAAAGGTGAGAAAAGTGGCCCAGAATGGGGGAGGGGGGGTCAACGGTCCTTAGTCACACAGTGAGATGAGCCACCCAGCCAACCAAGCCCCCTTTATCAGGCATCTCCTGTGGAACACAGATGACACAGGCAAGGCCCCGGGAAGATCGGTTTTTCAGGAGAAAGAGGATAGATTTCTCTACCAGCAGCTAACTAGTACTGACAGGGAGAGTTCTACAGATCAGGCTTGCTGCCACCTCTCCTGGCCTAGTGCAGCCACTGCCTGGCTCGAAGACTCTGGAGCACAGGGCTTCCTTCTAGAGTGAGAGGTCTCTCAGAGCCCCTTCCTCATCTGCACTTTGTCAGTCTTAGGGCATAAGCAAGGAAGAACAGAGATAGGTTACTGGGGATTGGGGGGGGGGCGGTCTTCCTTGAGGTGCTGTGGACCGAAATCCCAGCTAAGCGATGTCTCCTGCAAATCCCTCCTGGGGAATGTGTGCACTGGGTGGGCCAAGGAGGGCAGGCAGCGATGGACTCAAATGCTAAAAGGACTGGAATCTGCCTGCCTGGGGGCAGAGGGGGAATCAAGAATTTGAGGCCTACCATTCTCCAATTCCAGTCCTAAGAAGGAGATTCATGCCCCACCCCAGCTCCAAGACCAAAAGGAAACTGCAAAAGAAGGAGGGTCAGTGGCCTTAGTCTTCAAGGGGGGGGGGCACGCTGGTGCCAAGGAAGGCCCTGCCCCCACTCCAGCTGGGAGCCCAGGTCAATTGTGTCTGCAACTACCTTCTAAGACATCCACTTCCTGCCTGCCCTTCCCTTCAGGGCCATGGATGTCCAAGCACCCTATCTCAGGTGTCCTTCACGCCCACAAGTCAGGTGTCAGCAAACACGACCACAGACACATAGCCACTGGCACAAAACTATGCTACTGGCACTAGGGGACAAGATCAGAAGCAGGCCTAGACACAGCCCTCCTCCAGGTATCGGTACAAGGCCCGCTCTCATACTTCCAACTACAAGCAGATCATGCAACAAACACCGATAGCATGCACAAAGGCATTTGCTGAACCTCCCCCTTATACCGTCAAGAAGGCATGCTCAAGTGTGCAGGGTCTTACACAGACACATGCACAAACAAATCACAGATCCAAACACACATATTGTCACATCCATTATCACAAGCAGAAGCCAGGCGGTCCCCTTTACACAAGCAAAGATACTTCCAGACTCACATCACAGAACCAACCACAGTTGGTTCTTACATCACAGAACCAACCACTTGCTGATACCTGTATGCAGTGGACCATGGATCTCCTAGGCACAGGCCACAAGATTTCACATGCACAGTTGCCTGGGTCTCAGGCATTACCAGCTCTTACCCAGAGAGACACACTGGTGCACAGACATACTTCTCAGGGTCATAGACCCAGAACACACTGCACCCTATACACAGAGGCAACTACAGAACCACAGGCACCGACATCTCTCTCTCTCTAAATCTCTCTCTCTCTCTCTCTCTCTCTCTCTCTCTCTCTCTCTGGCTCAGACAAAGCAGCCACCTGGTCCCCCCTCGACCCCCAAACAGGCCACGTGTGTAGCATTATGTTAGGGCCTGTCTCAGCCTTCTAGGTTTTCCTGATATCGCTTCCTGTTGGTTGGGGACCTTATTTAGACATTCCTGGACATCATCACACACACACACACACCCTACTGCTACCACCATCTAACCCCCTGGTACTGCCCCAGGAAGTGCTTTCTTCCAGTTCAGGACTAGGAAGCCCACTCTCCTCGTTCATCCATGTCATCTCGAGTGCTCCAAGCATCTCTTCCTTTGCTCCCAGAGAAGGTAGAGCATTGCCTCGGATGAGGGATAGAAAAAGAGTCAAGAGGCACCTGGCAGAACCCCACCCTGGAATCCCTGGCTGCCCTCAGCTTGCACAGGCTCTGTATACACCACATGGAAGGCCTCAGACCAGCCCAAGTCCACAGGGAGAAAAGCCGGTCTATCCTTGGGGTATCTGCCTCAGGGGAACTTCTGGGCCCTCTAAATAGACCCTTGGCCAGGCTATGGCTTAGCCCCCAGATAGCCCTAGAGCAACTGGGAGATTTGGGGTGTGGCCCGGCATCTTGTAGGCTCTGAGCCTCATGTTGTAGGCTTGCAGGTAGCAGGAAGGAGGGGGCATTCAGGCAGCACTTCACCCTGGCGGCGCTCTGACTTGCACCCCAGGGGCCAGTCTCCATCTTACTCACAGGTCCCAAATTCCTCGTCCTCACCTCCCACCCCCAGGCCGCCTGCCGCTGTCCAGGAGGGGAGGTTTCTTTTATTAAAGTTTTCCGGAATGCAGGGGGCTGGAGACTGGGAGACCTGGGGTATAATTTAGAAAACTGGTTTTAGAGCCTTCCCCTATAGGACCTGCAGAGGGGGAGCAGCAGTGGAGCTTGGAGAACAGGGGCGTCCTTGGAGCCGGGGGCTCCCCAAAGGCTGTTTATCTTCCAGTCAGTCCTCTCACACACCCGGTGAGCCCTGAAGTACTCCGCCTGCTTTCCCAGCCTTATTTACTATAAAATGCCTTTTGTATCCGTATTTCTCAGGGACAGAATTCCCCTTTCCCTCTTCCTTTCTCCTCCCTTCTCCGTCTCCCAAAAGCAACGAATTTGATATGGAGAACTGGGTTTTCGCTCAAAGAACAACACAAGCCTCTCCCTCCAAAACAAGTACATTTTCAAAGAGCCCCCAACCCTCTTTTCTCCGGGCTGGACAAGCAAAGAACGAATACACCCGGATCAGCAATGGCATCTAGGACCAGCAAATTCTACATTCACTTCGGAGGCTCAAAATTAATCTAGAGCAGAGTGGGGAAAATCTGGTGAAATGCCCCCCAAGTCCCCTTTTAGGATCCCCAAAGCCCTTAGGGTCTGAAATATGAAGGCAAACGCGAGTATTGTGGGAGCAATCTTTTGAGCGAGACACGGAAGAGGTAGGGTGGTGAAGAAGGACAGGATAATTTTGCCCATGTATAGACCCTAAAATGGAGAAGAGGAGTGGCCGGGCCCCAGGGACAGCACAGAAATCCAAATGTAAGCGAACGAAGGGTCTCCGCCCCCCCCCCCCCAAATTAGCGTGGGAGAGGGTGAAGACTGAGAATGAGAGACCTTCAGGGGTAGGGAGAGCCCTCCCGCCTCTGCGGCGGGTAGCAGGGAAAATGGTGATTATCGGAGAAGCCAGGAGTTGGATTCGGTAGGCAACACCAGCAGAAAATCCAGGAGGGGTGGACGGCTGGGGGGCTGGAGGGAAGCAAGGAGAAAGGAGCCCTAGGCCTGCCGCTGCCCAGACCCGGCCAGCGCCCCCCACCGTTCCCGGGCGCGGCCGAGAGATCGGGGCCGCAAGCAGACCCGAGGCAAGTCTTACCACCAAATTGGGTAGCCGGCGAGGACCCTGGTGCCACTGAGCAGGAGGCCGAGTAGCAGCCCGAGCAGGTGGGGCTCCATTAGAAGCAGCGCCGAGGAGGAAGTTTGCCGGCGATCATGAAGAGGGGGAGCGACGCCCCCAATAGTTGGAACAAAGTCCACTTGAGGTTGGAAATGACTTTCGGGCTTGTCAGAAGCGCACCTCCACCCGCAGCCGCCCCCCTCCGGAGCCCAGCGCGGAGCAGCCGGGTTTGAGGATGTCAGCGAGCAGCCAATCAGCGCCCGCGGCCTAAGGTAAGAGATGAGTCTGTAGTTCAGCCTGTCAATCACGCGCCCCTCCCTCCCGGCCCACAACTCCGGCTCTGGGAAGGGCATCTCCCGGCAAACTTGGGCAAAGCCTGCGCCCCGGGCGCACGGAGGCCTCGGGAGGACCCGGCACGATGGATTCTCTGCCGGCCCGAGACGCTCCCTCCCCAGACCACGCGAGTCAGGTTTAGGGAGCTGGGGCTTTGACCCGGCGTTCACGTGGTGAAGGGGTCGGTTTGGGCATTGATGGGTGGCTCGCTTTTCTGTCGGTGGAACTGTGATCCCTTGGGACTTGGCCCCTTAAGAAATCAGGACTAGAAAGCAAAAGATTGTTTACAGATCGCGCAACTGGGATCAGGGGCTCGGGAAATACAACCCCTCCCTGCCTCCCGCCTTCCAGAGCCGGCGAGCTGGCGGCCCCGCCAGCCGGTCACAGGTCTCTTCCAGGGTGTCCAAGGGGCGCACGGAAGAGTCCGCGGAGGCTCGAAGGTCTGCCAGCCGGCGGCGCCGGGGGACAGAGCTAGTGTCATTTGAGTCTTTTGTCAAGAGTCAGATTGGTATCGCGACCTCCTGCAGCCTTTGCATTTCCTGCAACTGACACCAGCCGCCGTTAGCATTTCCTGCGGGAGGACTCGGTCACTTTCTCCTGCGGGCTTGCAGGCTGGACCTCAGCAGCACCTTCAGTCTCCTTTGGATCTTGGGGTACAACCATTTGGGACCAATGAAAGATGGCAACCCTGGCTGATAGTGGTTGGGGGCTTCCAGCAGCACCCTCCCTCTCCTATGCCCAGGTCTTTTGACCTGCACCTCTGGCCCTTCTGCGTACGAGAAACTAGAACCTGGTGTTTGGTGTTCAAGCGTTGTCCCGTGCAGACACCAGATTCATCCCATGACCTACTCTAGTCCATATGCAGGGGGAAGCGACCAGGCCTCGAAGGGGACTCCTTTCCTATTTTCCAGAGTTTGGGAGCTAGGTCTAAGTCACTAGTGGTGCCGAGATTATGCTTAGGTTATTAGGACTCACCTAGGTATCTGCCCTTAGCCTCCCTTCCGGGCTACAGGAGACATTTGGCCCTTGAAATTCTCCTGACTTGGGGTCAAGAAAGCAAGTCCGAGGAGCCTTAGTGGAACCTGATCTCCGAACTCTGTAGAGAGCCAGAGAAGAAGCCCACCCAAACGTGCCTGGCCAGGAACGGCTGGCTCTCCGCTGATAGGGGTGGACAGGGTTGGGGGAAGTCCCACAGGGAAGCAGACATTCCTAGCCTTTGATCCGGGCGGCTGGTGCCCACAGCTCGGATCCACTGCCCCTGCTGGTCGGCTCTCGGCACACTGCTGCTTCTGGTGTTGGGAGAGTGAGGAACTGGCCCCTGGGGGCACCAAGGGTCGGGAGAGCCGCCTGGGCTTGTCACTGCTTCTGCACGTTCCTAGCCCGAACCCCGGCTGGAGGGGGTAGAGGGAGAGATGAAAGAGGGGAGGAAGGGGAGGTAGAGAGAGACAAGTGGATAGAGACACTGAGACAGAAAACAGGGGTGGGGATGGGGTGGGACAAACTTGAGCTCCCAGACAGAGGAAGAAGGGGGAGAAAGGGGAAGACAAGAAGTGAAGAAGGTTAAGGAGCCTCATGGTACCCCCACACACACCTGCTGAACACTCACGGGGCTGGTAGATGGTACTGTGATAAGCACCCCCAGAAATGCCCCCAGGGTCTGGGCATTCCCAAAAGATGCCCCCTAGGTTCTGAAGTCCCGTTTCTGGTTCACCTGGGAGGGCAGTAGGAGGGGGCTGGCCAGTATCCGGGAATGTAGAGCCCCAGGGCTGAAGTTTTAGTCAAGAGAGAGCTTCCACCGGCTCTTAGCTGCTAGGTACTGGCTGCTGGTGCAGTACTTTAGCTGAGTACCGGCTTGCAGCTCTTCTCATGGGAGGAGATTCCCACGGTTTGCTGAACATCGATGCGGGTTAGATCTCAAATTCTGCACCGCAGCTTGGGGTTCGACAGCCCAACACTAGTGTTTCTGATCGCTGGGACGTTGACTTCCCTTGCCTTCAACACGCCACTGTGGTGTGGAGGCAGGGGCTAAACTAAACGACTTCTTCGGGTCATTTAGAGCCTGAAGATTCCACAGGTGCCAACCCTAGACGGTGGTGGCAAAGATCCTTGGTGGTTTTGGGTGAGATGCTGATTGTCTGAGAGATGCGTGGGAAGCTGTCCTGGTGTGGCTAAAACTGGTCGTTCGGGCTGTGTGTATGCAGGTGCCTCTTACACGCATCCTAGAGCCCGAGGCAGCCCCAGGTGCTGTTCAGCGGGTAGGAAACAAACACAGGGAAAAGTGCAAGTAAAGGAGGAGGGGACCAGCGGCGGGGAGTGGCCGCGCGCTTGTTGCCGCGGCAGAGAGCAGAGGCCTGCGTGGGGATTTCCCCCCACTTGAAAGTTCCCCAGAGGAGGGGATTCCGGAGTCCTTTCGTCTCTCTTGCCAGGTGTCCTTCCTTCAACACAAGCTTAATTTTCTTCCTCCTGCCTGCGGGTGGCAACGCAGGAATGGACCCTGCCCAGGCAGTGAGGGAGCCCCCTTGCCACGAGTATCTCACTGGAGCCTCTTCTCTCTGAAAGGCACCCCAACCTCAGGGTCGGTGCACGTGGCGGTAAAAGGTTAATCTTACTCCAAAATCAGCTAGTGAGAGTGGGCACGAGGCTCGGTCCTGGATAGTAAGGGTGGTCTCCTGGCTGAGGGGTGGGCGGGGAAGGGGAACCGACCTGCAGTAATAGATGTGGCACGTGGGAAGCCTGCGTGCTGTGTGTGACTGACAGGGACTTCAGACCTGGGATGGAGACCCCCACCCCCACCTCTGTAGCTGCCCGGAGGTTCCTTTTGAAGTGCTCTCCCTCCAGGAGCCCTCGGTCAGTCGCTGTGTATTCTGCGCGGCTCCACCGGACCCCTGCCGAGGCACCTCGAAGACAAAGAATTCGGCAGCCAGGCAGGCCCCCGCCCGCCCTCACGAGGCTGCCAGTCTGTCGCGAGGAGGGAGGAGGAAATCTCCTACCCAGGCACTGACTGCCATTCATTTTTTGCTGGGACTGTTTTCCGGGGCTCTGCGGGATGGGGGGAGGGGCTCAAACCAGCCCAGCCCAATGTGGGGATGGAGGAGAGGGAAAACCACGGCGGGCAAGCGGGGAGGCATTCAAGTGCGAAGGTCAGTGGACCTGAAGCAGAGAGTCAATACCAAAGGGAACGGAAGACTCCAAGACCTGGAGAAAGGGGTCTCCTAATAGCACTAGGAGCCTCCCGCACGATTTCAGGCGAGTTTCCTGGAGGCCGCTGGGTTATTGGACAGCAGAGAGTGGCCTAGGAAATAGGAGGTTCATGGCGTGGTCGGTAGATGCAGAAATTAATTGGGCACGATTCCATTCATGCAAGTCCCATCCTCGGAAGAGGAGAGAGAGAAGTCTCCGTGTGCGGGAAGCCTGTGACCTGCAGAGTAACAGATTAGGGTACCTGAACACCATGCCCCCCAATGCGGGTGTCTGTCCCAGAGCTCAGAGCCTCCTCTGTGTTGCCTCGCGTGCCCCCCACGAAGGGGGTGCTGATAGGAAGGCTAAAGACAGGCCGCCTTCCGTCCTAAGCAGCCTGGATATTTGGGAAGCCTGGCTAATGAGGCTTCTTCGTGAGAGAATATGCAATCCTCGTTCTTACCTGGGGATCGGGTGCGCCTGGTTCCCCTCTCCTTCTCACTGTGAGTCACCTGGGAGGACTTGCAGGTCCTAGAGACAGTTGGCAGACTGGCTATTGTGGCACAGGTTGGCATCCCTGGGAATGGACCCCGTGATGCCGCGGTGCCTTCCGCCCAGAACATCTGTTCTTTCTTGGTCTAGGTCTACCAGACCTCAAGATGCCAGGTGTCCCCTTATCCCAGGGACCCATCCAACAGCAGCCCCAGGGCCCTGGGGGCAATTTGGAAAGCGATGCTGAGCCTGAGTCTTTTGCAGGAACTGTGAAATGAAGGACAGCCTCACTAGTGGAAGCAGATGCCCCAGGAGGGTTCCCTGGGTCGGGATGTGGGGATGGAACTTTGATGTCTCCCAGGGGGCTGATAAGATTAAATGTTAATGCAACAGGCCACCTGACCTAGATGGTAAAGAAACCCTGGCTTTCTTTATCTCTGTGGCAAGGAAAGTTCCTCTCCCTCAATCCTGACCTAGTATCTGTGAGGAGCCCAGAGTCCTCTTTTGTAGGACTTATTCAACACCACACCTCAGCATCTCTTTGGAGTCTCCCCACCCCTGATAGAGGCCAACCCCTACCCAATGGCTCTGATTCTCTGAGCCAGTGCTGTGTTTGAAAGAAAATGGCCCCCAAAAGGAACAGCAAGATTAGGAGGTGTAGCCTTGTTGGAGTAGGTGTAGCCTTGTTGGAGTAGGTGTAGCCTTGTTGGAGTAGGTGTGGTCTTATTGGAGAAAGTCAGTCACTGTGGAGGTGGGCTTGAGGTCTCATATATGCTCAAGATACTGCCCAGTGTCTCAGTTCACTTCCTGTCGCCTGAAAGATAGAGGATACTCAGCTTCTTTTCCAGCATCACATCTGCCTGCACACCACCATGTCACACCACGATAACAGAATAAACCTCTGAAAATGTAAGCCACCCTAATTAAAATTTTTTTCTTTCCTAAGAATTGTAGTGGTCATGGTGTCTCTTCACAGCAATAGAAACCCCAAATAAGACAGCTAACAACTTTCTTTTTCCATGAAGCCCCTAACACTGACATGAAGTTAAACATGGTGCATACCAAGCGTATCTGTTATGTGTTGGCCTTCACTGCTCTGAGAGCAGGGGACCTCAGACA